TTTTGAATTACGTGAATTTGATGGATAGAACAGCTTTACACCAAGGATGCACTAAAGCTCAAATATCTAATCATATTCTGATTGCATTGGTGACTAATAAAGTTGTTGCCACTTTAGCACTTAGCCCCTTTAAGAGCCTTTAAAGCTTTGTGTTAGGGTGTGAAATCTGTTTTTCTATACCTCTTTTGGACAGATTTTGGTATTTTCTGCGATGATTGAGGGACCAGATGCTTTTAATGGGGCCAAAGGCTGGTTATTTTATAAGAACAAACCCTAGAGATCAGCTATTAAATAGGTTTTGGTTTATGAAGTCTATCTATTCGAAAAGAAATAAGGATAGATTAACAAATATGTAACTCAGATAGTTGGGTGTAAATGTACCATATCTAGTTTTTATTAGAGCTTATTTTACAGTATGACATTAAAATGTATGTAAAATACTCTTAAAAAAACCTTACCTTCCTGTTAAGAGCCTTTTGTATCCAAAAGAAAATCCCGAAAACATTTATTGTGTCATATATCCTGTGTTATTTAACATATAGAGGAAATGTAAAAAAATAAAATGCTACAAAAAGCTTACTGTATTTGTGGGATTGCAAAAAAAAGTACTTGTTTTCTCAATTTAGTTTCATTTCAATCATTTGGTCTTCTTAGGTTTGCCACTGCCATCAGCTATAGAGAATCCATTAACCTGAAAATCAGGTTTAGCTCTACTTCTGGGATTTTCTTGGTAGCACTCGAGGTGAATGTATTTCCTTTTCGTATTTTCTTTCTATTTGCATACAGGTTACAAAAAGTGACAACTTGAACTGGGTGATTCTGAGACGTTAAGGAAAATAGATACTTAAACTGGTCTGGGAGACTCAAAAGCACAGAGAAGACCTTTCCTCCCAAAAACATCAGTCCGATTAAAATCTTTCCAAACCTTGTAGGAAAATATGTGATGAAATTAAACCAAACTTGACAGTTAGGTAACAGTCCCAAAAGCCATGGATGTAAGGTGGATGAAAAACGTGAAACACTCTAAATACCAGCCAGTTTTGACCCAATACCTTCAAGTATCTATAGCTCGGAAATTGGAGGAAAAAATTGATTTTATGTTTTAGAATCACTAAGTAGAATTATAGGTCAAAATGAAAAAAACAGAATATCTTCATTAGAGGAGAAATGCATTTCTTGAATAGCGTAATCTGAGTCTATATCTCAGTCTGACTAAGGTACCAATGTTCACCTGTTAGATAATGATTAAAATGGCTAAAATTCAGTACAATACTCTGTTTAGGATTGTTAGTAACGCTTATGTATCTTTCCAGGGTTAGTATGTTTTTCAATGCTGGATGCCTACTTGTTCGTAGCTGTTAAACAGACATATGAAAAACCCTCTCAGCCACTGAAGATGAGGAGTTACACAATTAAACACACCTGACTTCAGTCACATGTTTGCACGCCAATAAACATGGGTGCAGATGACATAAATAACCAGGTTCCAGCTCCCACTCCCCTCCATCCGTACACCTCTCATTTTACAGGGATCGTGTCTCATAATATTTCAACATAACCCATTAGTTGCTGAGAGGGGGTCAAAGGTCACATCTTCCATATAATCAGAGTTTTTACTTTCTTTACATAAAGCCCCTGTCAGCATCTAAACTGGCCTATTCAAGACAAATTGGTTTTTTAAGTGAATAGAATAGAATAGAATAGAATAGAATAGAATAGAATAGAATAGAATAGAATAGAATAGAATAGAATAGAGATATTTATCTTATTCCTTGTGTATTTAGGAACACATAATACATATTTCTGTCTTTTTTGTGCATCGTCTTAGTTTCATTTATACATTTCAATAAATAAAAATGTTTAAAACATTCTGTTTGGTTATTGTCCTCATCTTGTTTTGCAGCCTATGTTTAATTAAGCTCAGTTCAACCTCCTATGAATTCTGACCAGCTCCCTTGCTGCTCAACAGATGCATCCCCATAGCATGATACTGCCACCCTTCTGTTTTACCATAATGATGGTGAATTAATTATGTGTTAGGCCAAAGGGTTTACTTATGGTGTTGTTTGCACTTTTTCTGAATCCCCCACATTATGTTTAGGAAACTAATATTTTGAATAAATTGATGGTGTTTTTTTTTTATTTTTTCCCACAAATGCTGCAATTTTCTTACCATCGTCTTTGTAAACCAAATATGTGGAGTGTAAACTAGTGTTTATTCTGAGATTCACCCACTTAAAGTGTTGATCTCTACACTTCGTGTTGCAATGGCTGTGTTTGCTGCTTCTTTGCTTTCAACTTGAGGTAAAATGCCTTAATTCTGTAGCTTTGAAGTTCTGACACCTCATTTTTTTTTTTTTTTCATTTTTTTGCATAAGGTTGAACAAAGCCTGATTGTTAAGTTAGATGCTTTCCCTAAATTGCTGTTGGGTAATAGTGTACGTGGTTATGCAACATATTTAAGACTGGTTTGGTATATTTACTACTCTTCTGAGGACCAACTGGCTTTGTAGGAATCAAAGGCTGGTTCTAATGTGGTTGACACCTAATTTTGATGTTAGGGAGTCAGTTTAGAGATTTGGTGTGCATTCACTCGAGGTTAATGTTAGGGTAAATGTCATAGCAATAGATAAATGAATGTTCTTAGGTCAATATAAAGTGTTAATATGGATAGAAATACGAATGTGTGCTCCCCATCAGCCTTTAGGTTTAAGTGGGGAGACCAATGGGTGGTTTGAAAGATGCTCTTTATAATGCTATAGCATTGAATATTGTTTTATAAACAAAACCTGCTTTATACTTGCAGCTTACTGATTCTGCTCATTCACACTGTTTACTGCCTTACACAAAGGAAGCTCCAATGTTCTTTTTTTATTTTATTATTTTATTTATTATTGCTGTAGACATCAATCCATCCATCCATTTTATATCACGCTTCTTCCTGCTGGGGTCATGAGGGGGGCTGGTGATTATGAATGGTGCCTGTCAAAATTATAGAAGCCAATTAGCTATAATATTTTTGGACTGTGGGAGGAAGTCGGAGTACCCCGAGAGAACATGCACAGGGAGAACATGCAAACTTCATGCAGAAAGATCCCAGGCGGGGGATTGAACCTGGATCCCTCTTGCTGCAAGGCAACAGTGCTACCTGCTGACCCAGTGTGCAGGCCTGCAATCGACATATTCATTATTATTATTATTAGAATTAATTCCTACATTGTCCTTTCCATCATCACAGCCTTCTAACCACTCTGCCTGAACTCGCTGATCTTGGTATCTCAGTGATTTATTGGTTGTGGACATAAAGATGGTTAAAGTGATCAAAATTGTACATACCGTATATTATTTGAACACAAAGTTTTAATGCATACCACCTGAAATATCATCGCTACCATATATCATCTAAGCAGTAATTTATTAATGCAATATTATAGACACTGAAACTGCATTTTGTACAATCCTTAGAAAATACAGTGAAGTGTGTATAAACCCCGAACTGAGGTATTCTGGAGTAGCCAGACTTTTTCTGACTGACTCAGAAGACCAAAAATAACATTTCTGTTCAACAGAAATGATTACATTTTCATTTGAAACTGCTTTTCTGACAGTTGGCTTCTCAAGCGCATATCCATCTAATTCGGAATCTCCCTACTTTGTCCTCCTCTGTTTGCTTGGTCTTTTATAGCGACAAGCAAAAGTTAATCAGATTGTGTCTTTCATCAAATTAAGCGAGTCTCTTGGCTCAAGATGAGACAGGAAATTGTAACACTCTTCATTAAGGAGAGCAGTTGCTATTTATGTGGCGATGACAACTCGGCCTCTGCACTCATGGGAGAGACCATCCCCAATATCTGTACCCAATAGTGGATTCAGGTTGCTATTTATACAGCAGTCCCTACACACACATCTATTTTCTCTCTGACTGTCACTTTGCCAGCTCTCATAATAATTATAGCTGTTGGCCATTATGAAAAAGCTGTTACAAAAAAAAAGAAAAAAAGCCAAGGACTCTGCAGAATGCATAAGCTGTTATTGAAGAGCCTGAGGAGTGTAGGTGGTTCTAACCATGGAGCTGTGTCAAGATGCACTCTGAAGCTTCTGGGTTACAGACAAACAGAAATGAAAACCTAAGATTTTAAAAAGGAATTCAGCCACACTGTCTCACAAAGACTCCAACATTTTTTTTATTTATTTATCGATTTCAGGATTTCTTGGTTGAGATCAGAGTGGCTGCTGCAAGAAAAGGAGAAACATAAAACATCACAAAATGCAAAAAAGACCCCAAAAAAATATCTACATATAAATATATTTTTATGAGAAAACTGCAGAATGTGATGACAATAAAACACTTATTTACAAAAATTTACAACAAATCAATCATTACCAGTGAGTTAGGCATGCTGCCGTCAGCTGGTCTGACTGCATTGGATGTTTAACAAGCCTATTTTTCTCAATTTTCATAAAGAATATTTTTACATGAGACACACAACGTGTTGTAAAGTTGATCAAAGCTTTATTTCAAGCTTTGCCCACATAAAACACCTTTATCATATTTGGATGCACCAACATTTGATACTCATTTTAGAAACACACCTAAATTATTTAAGATGATGAACATAAGAAAACTACATGTACAGTTTGTCATTTAGTACAACTGCATTTTCTGTCGAGGAATGAATAGGGACACATCCATATTTATCCCCACCTACAATGTATATAATCTTTCAAAAACTAAAATGTTTTCTTAGGAGCTACAGGAAGCTTTTACTCCTGGTGACATTTGAGTTCATGTCTGCAAAATCCAAAATAGATTGTACAAGCTTAACTATAATGGGATGTATGCCAGGAAACCTCTTACTGAAAGTGCTCTTAAAAAAATATTAACCAGAATCATGTTTATTGCCAAGAAGGTTTGCACTTACAAGGAATTAGACTTGGTGTTGATGGTGCAAATTATATATATATATATATATATATACAGAATCTATAGCTATGTATAGTATGAAATATAGTATATACTATATACAATATAAAGTATCTAGCCATATACTATACACACAGTAGACCGTGCCTTAATGTAACGGACAGGAGGTCTGAAGAGTCTGCATTGGTGTAGCTTCTACGTCTGAAAGGGGGGAGGGAGAGAGGCAGTGTCAAATGTCACGGGGGTCTCTGAGCCTTGTTGATAAGGCTGGTAGCAGATGGGAAGAAACAGATCTTGTGGCGTGAGGTTTTGGTCCTGATGGACCGCATCCTCCTGCCAGAGGGAAGTATCTGAAATAATTAGTGGCTGGGGATCCTTTGCTGCAGCAAGACCTGACCAGTCTTTAATTTAATAAAATGCAATACTCCCCTGTATCAGGTCGTTCTTAGGAAACAACGTCTGCAAAAAGCAAAAGCTGAGGCACTATCTGGACTGTGTGAAATGGCAATGAGCCAAAACAATAAAAGCTATCAAAATATACATCAAAAGTGGTTAAAACGTCTTTGGTTGAGTAAGAGCTCAGAGCTTTATCTTTTTGAGTTTCTCTGAGAGGATATGGCATGAAAAAAAAAACGGTTAAAAAACTGGAACTTAGCTTTGATTTTTGTGTCAAATTGTTTAGAACAGCAGGTGAATCGTTTTGGCGGCAGACAGCGCCCTCTGCTGGTTGAAACTAGAAACAACACCAACGCGCTGCATTTTCATTGAAGTTCGCTTTCATTGAAACTTTGCCGCCACAGCAACCGCTTCACCCGCTGCTAAACTGGTAAATATAACGAGCTGTTTGTCTTATTTAGATATAAAATGATAATATATCAATAAAAATGTGCTACTCTGAGTAGATAATGTTTGTCTGTGAGAGCTAGAAAGCAGTTAGCAAAACGTTTTAGCCAACTGTCATTCATTTAACTATATTGTATAAATTACAAATGACCTTAAAAACACCCTACGAGTTTTATGTCTGGCCGAAAATGGATGCAACCGCTTCTGTTCTTTAGACCTTTGTGTTTCTTTTGTTTCTCATAGTTGTCTTTGTTTATAGGAGGAGATGGAGTCTTGCCAAAGAACCACTGCTTACAGGGTCAGAGGTGGAAGAAGAGAAGAGGACAGGCTGGAAAGGCAGTAAGTTGTTCACTTTCTCAGGGAAGCTGAGAAGATAAGGAGGGAGTGAGTTAATTAGCTTTAACCTGGATCATACAATGTAGAACAAAACAAATATTCAATATAAGCAGAATGATTTTGATTCAATTCAGTTTATTCATATAGCAACGATTCACAACAAATGTCATCTCAAGACTTAGACTTAGGCAGACTTTATTATCATTCACACAGAGTGCATCTGAGGGCACTTTATAGAGACAGTTCAACCAGATCATACAGTCAGACTAGTTCAAAGTTTTTTTATCTAAGGAAAAACAGCTGATTGGATCAACTCATTGACTCTACATCAGGCTCTGCTCATAATTTCAGTGTGCAAGGACCCTCTTTAACTCATTCCGGCCCCAACACTTCTTCTCAGGCTCAAGCTCCTATCTGTGTCAGTAAATAACTGAAGCAGCTCAAGAAGTAATAATAATAATAATAATAATACATTTTATTTCAAGCGCCTTTCAAAACACTCAAGGTCACTGTACATGTAAAAACAATAAATGGTAAAAAGCAGTCGTCATAATTAAAAGAAACAAAACAAATTACACAGAGGAAAGTAATATAAAATCATAATGAAAAGGCAATCTTGAACATGTGGGTTTTGAGTTTGGATTTGAATACGGGTAAAGACTCGGTTTTGCAGATGTCAGAGGGGAGAGAATTCCAGAGTGTGGGCGCAGAACGTGAAAAAGCTCTGCTCCCCATGGTTTTAAGACGGGCTGATTTTACACTGATTTTATATATA